CAGGAGTGAAGTATCATCAACTTTACGAATGGAAATAGAGGCTGTCTTGTTGGTAGCAAAGCACAGGAAGAAAAAAAAAAGTAACAATCAAGTTCCGAACTACCAGAAACTGGACACAATGATATGCTTGTTCCATTTTCTCTGTATTTAGGATGTTCCGTACCTTGGAAGGAATGGGCTTAAGATACTTCAGAGAAGTCGGAAGACCGTACATACAGGACATGAGGAATGTTCCGAGCATCAACAAGCCTATCTTTCACTCCCAATTCTCACCCTGTAGCGGCAGAACCTTTTCCAAACATCACACACTTAAGTCCCTCCTCTACTTTTCCCACACAGTTTTAGGAAGAACAAGTGTTCGTGTTCTTCTACTAATTTAAGGATGGAATAGGAAGTTGGTGTGTCTAGCTCAATGCTCATGCCAGTCCTGTTCTCTACACTGTTCTACACACACAGAAACTATAACATACTTCCTTACAAATCCTGTGTAATTCCCTCCTAACTATCAAAAAGCCCGTGCAAGAAATACCTACACCACACCTGTGAGGCACAAAAGCAGTTGCAAGACGTCTGTCCTCAAGTCTCTTTCCCCATTATTTATTTTTCCATTCAAAGTGTCAAAACAGACATACTCAAAGTTTATCTTTAAAACCTAGCTCTTCAAGAGTAACTCATCTACCTAGCTTTAATGAATGAGGTATGTAAAAATACGGTAGCCACATCAAGTAAACTACCATGAAATCAAGTTTGGCTACAGCTTTCCAGTCCTAGACCAGCTGCAGGATATACTGACAGGTGCCTCTGCTTTATTTGGTTATACTCGTCATTGGATTTGAGCTATAAATAAGATCTAAGAGTTCCATTTCTTTACAAGCATTTTATAATATGCTTGCAGACAGCAAGAGTGCACTGAATTTCCCTGCTGCTATACAAATAAGTCTCATGTCAGCTGCCAGCATGAAATGCATTCAAGTTTCAACTTACGTTGCTTGGGTAGAGCTTCTGCCAATCTCCTCAGGCTGGTCAGACTGTCAGCTCCGAGCTGATTTAAGATGCTAGGAAGCATTTCTGTCAGCTGCTTTGTCTCAGCATGGCCGGTGACAGTGAAAGTGTTAGCAGCCAAAGATGCCTGAACTTTAGGGTTATTGAAGTGAACGACTGTTCCTTGGTTGGTAAACATATTTACCTGCAAGAAAAAAATTCAGTATTTGAAGCAGTTAAGCAAAATTTTTCAATTTAACAGGAAACTGAAGTTCTTAAAGAAAGACCTACTGATAATTTACAGACAAGTTTAGGGTGTATTTTAATACTTGAGTAGTTCTTCACACTCTCTTCCTGAGGGCCGTATAACTACTCTGCAGCCATCTACAAATCAACTTAACATACAAAGTTCTGCTTCTGTGTCACAGTGCACACAACCCCACCCCTCCAACTGCACTGCAGCAGTCTTTCCATTGCTACAAGGCAAGCTTGCATGTCTGTGAGAAGTGTAAGGTTTCAGGAAGCAATGCACCAGAGAACACTTATTCTACAATTCTTATAGGGATCCTGCAGCATCTTAGAAAAGAAGATTTTCAAGTTTACCCTTATCTGTTATCATAGGCATAAAACTGAAGAATGAGCAGAGTTTTAGGTAATTTCTGAAGCTTATGCATTTTTCCTTAGATCACCTCTCTTAAATTGCAGCCAAATTTTTATAATAGTCAGAGGCCATAAAGTTATCAACACAGTAACAAATGAATATGAGAAAACTCTAAATGCTCAATTTTTATTCCAAACAGACATCTCACATCTGATGGACTTACACATACATATTTGAAGAACACTTATTTTCCCAAAATATTTTATAAACATGTTTTTTAAAAAATACTTCTACGTATTATTCCAGACCCCCCCTGTTTAGAAAGCAAAATAAGCAAAGGTTAAGTTCCCCTACAGACACAGAGCTCTAGATTTCTCCAGGGAAATAGTTGTCCCATATTAGAAGATATCTATACCTACGAAAAAGCAGAAAGTGTCATTCTATACTCCCTTGCACAATCATAAGGCTTCAGTGAAATCTGACATAAAATGTCCAGGAACAGGTGAAACTAAGCTCCTTTTTGACACACTGTAACTACTAATCTAAGTCCTCCTACTCCAGTTGCCCATCTGCCACATGCTAGCAATAAGAATGTGTTGCTGCCCAGCTGTATAAATGGCTGCCATACCTTTTGAGTTAACTGGTAGAAGTTAGAACTGGCTGGAGCAATAAGAATGTGTTGCTGCCCAGCTGTATAAATGGCTGCCATACCTTTTGAGTTAACTGGTAGAAGTTAGAAAACTGGCTGGACACTAACAAGTAATCATGTCTAATATAATCTAGTTACAAACAATGAGGAATGTTAATGACAAATTCACATGAAACTAACACTTGGAAGACTACAGCTCAAAAGTTTAGTCATTTGTCTCGAAAGCTTGATATTCATTCCCTGCTACGGTCAGGTCAGCACACAGAGCAATTTGAAAACTACTAATATAATAGAACTGGCTTTATTTTAGTACCCTGACTACTCAGAAATTGAGCTACATAAGGTACACATGAAGTCTCTCTGGACAAAAGACCTCTCAATAAATTTCAAAAAATAATGTTTTGAATCAAAGGCTATGTAGGAACATGTACTTCCTTTTTACCCATATTAAACATAGATATCCAGCTTCAGATAATTTGAGTTTAATTTAAACGAACAGCTGTTGCTTTCATCTCCACAGATTTAAGCTTCTAAAGATTACAGGTTTTTACTAATGAAATTCTATTGTGATCATGCTGAGACATGCTGTTCACACCCCTTTACCTCTATATTAAAGAGGAGTGGGTAAAGCAGGCCACCAATGGAATACTACAGACTCATCTGCCACTCCTCTAAAAGGTTTGGAAGAAGAGCCATGACATTTACCTGCAGCGATATTCTACACAAAAATCTCAAATTTCACCTAACAAAGTACTACAGTAGTCCTCCACCTAAGCATAATATTTAGCTTATTTGTAAGATCTGCAGCATTGCAACATCACGAAAAATCTTCCAGCAGAGGCAATGTGCAACTTTTTCTCACAAAGAGAAGTGACTCTTCCCCCTTTGCCCCCTCCACACCCATCTCAATTTATATGGCGGCAATGCCATAAAGAATCCCAGTAATAATTTCCAGTTAGCTAACAAATTCAAAACGTCAAGTTCAGGCATTCAGAGTATTTCACAAGCCAATTTTGAAACTGAATGACAGCATCACGAGCATATTTTAAGCTTTGCTTAATGTCTTGAAAAGAGCTGTATGAACCAGAGAGCTGCAAGAGCTGTTATCTGAATGCACGATCTCATGTGACAAACATTAAAAGCCTCTATAGTCAATACACACGCGCTGTTAACATGCACACAATCATCAATCTAATACAGCAGTTCTCTGCTTAACTAGTAACCCATGCAAAGAATACGCAAAATCACCAAGCCAGTTCATTACTACATTAACCCCGAGTTAAGGCTACCTAAATCTCCACCTAAAGGAAAAAAAAAATCAACACAGAAATGAAAGCTCCTGGAAACGCTGCCAGCAAGAGTTCTGTTGAATAGTTTGTATGCTAAAATATTGTGTGGACGCATCCCCAGGTATAAAAAAATCACTAACAAATTCTTGCCTGAAAACTGACACTGTAATTAAGATGTCTACTAGCATATGACTATATTCAACATACTTTTTTATTTTTAGATTATAAGTACTCGCATAGCTACATATATTCAGATGTTGCAATAAAATAAGAAGGTCTTCTGAGCATGTTACTCTACAATTACAAGAGTATGACAAGTACAGAATTTCCAGCTTTGTCCTAAAAGGCAAACACACAGCCATGGGCATCTTAAAGATTTGTGACAAGAGTCTGGAACGTAACCCTCTACAATCTGTTACGAAAACTATACCCGAGCTCACTTGCTGGAAGGTCTACTCACATCAAATCCTACGTGCATTCTAAAACAGCCGATACAAGACTACAGGCTGCAGGTCTGCAGTAAAATATAATAACAAATCCAAACAGAAAATGCTGGAGGTTCAGCTACTATGTACTGCTTCTATCGAACTGACTCTAGAGATCCCTGCAGCAGCACAGCCTCCCCTGACGACAAATCAAGCCGAGAGTCCTTCGGGCTGCTCCCCATCCCAGTTTTCGGGACCCCTGGTGCTAGGTTTGGTGTGCGTGCAGAAGCACACGCAGTCCCCAGGGCAGGGTGGGGAGGCGGCTCCTACCTTGCCACCGATGCGCACTTGGGCCTGCAGCTTGGCGAGCTTTTCTTGGTTCATGATTGTTTCTTTCATCTGCGGAGGCAACAAGAGCGCCCATGGAAGGCGGGTCAGGCGGGAGCCG